TTGCTGAAACAGCATAGTTAAATTTCATGCGAAGAATTGAACATATTTGCAAAAACTTGATAACTAACAAGTTAACTACTAGATCTGAAAGAAAAAACACGTTGAGCAAAAAATAGTAGCAATCATTTCAATACATCAAAATTTGCCTAACGCTATACAATAAAGTATGTAGTGAAACATGCAGAACAATACAGAAAAGAATGATTAATAAACATCAAAATTACCCTGATAAGCCTGTATTTAGGCTCGAATTTCTTTGCATTCTCAACAGAATCGTAGATCAAGCCAAATCCGGTAGACTTTCCTCCACCAAAATGGGTCCTGAATTTGAACACAAAGATGGCATTCGGGTCCTTAACCTCGTACATCCTCGCCAATTTCTCCTTCAACTCAGCCTTCAAAAGAAATTACATAAAGAAATAAGATCACACCGCAAATGTTCCGTACAATCTAATTATTTCTCCTACCACTAAATATTTAACAAAAACCAAAACTGAAAATGGATTCCTCTACATTGAGTTATCAACATATCGTCAAGCACCTGGACGGGCATCGCACTAAGTTGATGTAATAAGTATTGTTTTCTGTATTGACTAAATTTCATTAATCTACAGATTATGGGAATCATACAACTACAAAACCACATTTGAATAATAAATTATGTATGATTTTCTGAATTAAATCATAGACTTCCAATACAAAAACAAACAAAAGTATAAAACCTAAAACAACTTAAATTTAGTATAATAAAAAGACTGAACCTTGGAAACATTAGGCCTTCCTGGGTGCAACACGTCAATGACCTAAAAAGCAGAAGCGCAAATGAAAATTGGAGTAAGAATAAAAAATCAAAAGTAAAAACGTTACAGACAAGCATTACAAAACATATATACATTAGAGTACATACAAATTGTTTCCTGGAAAGAAGACGATTTGTCATAAACTTCCTTGTTCTGATAGTCACTGCCTTGTCCGCCATTTTCTGCCCAAAAAAAACAGATAATAACCTAATTACATTCAATTTCAATCTAAATCACGAAATCAAGCAATCTATCTGCAGATAATAGATGGATCGTGATGAAGAGAACATGTAATTACCGGTGTTGTTTAAGGAGATTCAAGCCGTGACGCGCCGCCGCCGAGTGGTGCTGATCTTGAGAAGCTTACTGATGTGTTTCTGCTCGTGAGGCGTTTTAGCTTTGAAAAATGGTACAAGACTGTAAAATTAGGGTTTTGTGGTGTGAAGTATGAACCCTACCTCAACGGTGAAATGGGCCTAATTTATTTGGGCTCAAATTCAACTTAAGTTTATTATCTGATTCCATGGGCTTTCAAATTAAATTTCTATACTTTCCCGGATATACCCCTGCTAATGGATTTAATTTTGAACAATTAAATTTAATATTAATTAAGATTATAACAAAAATACAGTTTGTTTGAATCCCTTCATTAAAGTTTTATTATCTATAATAATTTTTTAATTCCTCAAAATTTTAAAATATTCGCTTTATGTTGACTTCTTAGACTGTAATTAAGCTCGCAATTAAAGAACATTTTTCACAATGATTATCGTTCAATAATTTTTAAATTAATTATTCATGGTAGGAGCCTTTTATACCTCTGATTTGATAGTAAAACATTTTTTTTTAAATAAATTACTAATTACCATCATTATCTTCAACTAATCTCAACTGCAATGACTTCTTTCTCTTTTAATATTGATTGGTAAGAACTGAAATTCTAAACAAACAGTGAAAATAATGCTAAAATCAATATTCCCCATTAACAAAATTCAGGATGACTAGAAAAATAATACAGAACTAAATAAAAAGAGCTGGAAAATAAAATTAATAATTTCTTATCATCTAAGAAAATTTGGCATCCGAATCAACAAGAAGCTTCCACAGTGCGTGCACATCTTCACATGAACACGACTTCACATCATCGTACAAAACATATATTCCTCGGCCTGAATCAAACGAAATTGACAATGTTATAATTTTATTCAGAGTATACATCGGCACTGCTGCACTGCATGAAAGTTAAAACAAACACGACGATTTTGAGAGAAATGATTACGCGTTCTTTTGGTTGACCGGAGTCTGCCCCAGAACTTCTTCAGAGGGGATAATAGAAGAGAATGAAGCCAACGTCCCATTAGAATAAATTATGTGGAAAGGTTGGAATGAAATTAAAGAGAATTTTACAATGTAGTTTTCTACATATATACAAGTGAAAAAAGTTTTATAGATCACTGTGCCATTAATATAGTTTTAATCCAGTAAAGTTTTGCAGCGAAAATTTAAACATTTTTTTGTAGGTCGAGAGTTGAGACTATTGCACGAAATAAGAATTTGTTTACTTAGACTATTGGTACGACGTCGTTGTTGAATTAATTGCAAATCAAAAGCTCCTAAGAGAAGGAAGTAATAAATATACTCCCACTATTGGTTAAATTGATTCATGCATTCATTTAATAAGGATAATTGGCTTTAATGAGAATTTTCTATCTGTTCATATTGGCTTCCAAGTCTACTTTTTTAGGGAAAATTGGTAAATTAAGTCTGTCAATTCTTGGACAAGCTCTCTTCTCGTTAAAATCCATGAAGCTGTCGGTTATTTTTATGCTACACCCAGAAAAAGTTATACCGTATGTTTTTCTTCCCACTCAGTGTATTTCACTTTGTATAGCACTATTTGGGCTGGTTCTAACTATGCCCTTGTTCCTTCTGAAAATTGAAGGTTCTGATATTGATTTATATATTAGGTAGAAGTTAACATAACATTGTGGTAAAGCCCATTTAAGATTCTTCTCCATCGAAGCCCAATTAAAAAGCCCAGCCCACTAGTTATTTTTTGTTTTGTTTGGGAAAAATTCAGAGTCCAGATTGGCAATTGAAAAGCGTGTTTATATTGAACAGCACCACCGACTAAAGGCGTGATTGACCAAAAAAAAGAAGAAAAAAAGAAAAAAAAAAAGAGAAAGTACATAATGACAAAACGACAGCGTTGCATCACCGGTCGGGTTAAATTTCAAATTCAGTCTCTCAATTCGATCCTCTGAGATCCCTAATGGGAAGAATTTCCTCAGCCGTAGAAATCCCTGAACGCCGTCGCCCACTCAGCCACCGCGAGGATGGCCGCTCTTCTCCCGATTCCCGCTACCATCGGCGCAACGTTAGTTACAGCCGGAGCCGGAGCCCCAGCCTTAACCGCCACCACCGCCGTAGCCCCAGCCCTCGCCCTAATCGGGACCGCCGCCGTAGCCCTAGCCCTAACCGTGACCGGCGCCGTATCCCCAGCCCTAACCGCGTCCTCCGCCGTAGCTTCAGCCGAAGTAGGAGCCGGAGTGGAAGCCCCATAAGAAACGGACAAAACAGGAACTTCCGTTCTTCTCCGGATTACTCGTACCCTGTTCACGGAGAAAACCAAATTTCTGTCGACCAAAAGAAATTCAATTTTGATAATAGAAAACAACCCTACCTCGACCGAGATAGTAGGAACGGACAATTCCCTGAGCCTGAGTCTGATGAAGAATTAAAGGGTCTTCCTTATGAAGAATATCGCAGGCTCAAGCGTCAGAAATTGAGAAAATTGATGAGGAACAGTATTTGGAATTGCACCCCTAGCCCCCCTAGGGATCCAAATGAAAATTCGGATGCGGAGCTGGACGAGGATCTTGTTGCCGAAGAGGAAAAACAGACCAAGGTGTTGAAAGCTGTGGCGAAAAAATCGAAAAAGAGCGACTCTGAGTCCGAGAGTGAGGAGTCTGAATCTGAGTCAGATGATTCTAGGTCGAAGAGGGGCAGGAAATCTGGCTCTAGGAAGAAGAAGAGTAGGAGAGCGAAATCAGTTTCGGAGAGTGAAAGTGTATCTGAGCAATCGAGTGATGAAGATTCGGAGGAAGATAGGAAGAGGAAAAAGAAGGGTGGAAAAAAGAGTAGGAAAGGAAGGAGTAGCAAACGCAGTAGTAGGAGAAAGAGAAGCAGCAGGAAGAAGAGCTTAACCAGCGAAAGCGAGAGCGCAAGTGATGATTCCGAAACAAGTGCTGGTGCAAAGTCGAAGCAGCGGAAACACAGGTCATCTTCAAGGTCGAAAAAGGGCAAGAAAAAGAGAGAAGTCGACAGCGAGAATTCTGATTCAAACGGGAGTGCTTCTGATCAAGAAGCTGGTGGAAAGGAGTTGGTCCACAAGGCAGATGAGGTCAAGGTTAACGATGAAATGGATGATGAGCTACTCATCTTTAAAGAAATGATGGAACTACGAAAGAAATCCAACAACTTGGAGGAGGAGCAAGTGGTCGGTCCAATGCCGCTGCCGAGGGCAGAAGGACATATCAGCTATGGTGGTGCACTCAGGCCCGGTGAGGGTGACGCTATTGCGCAGTATGTTCAGCAAGGGAAGCGTATCCCACGTAGAGGAGAAGTGGGTCTTTCAGCAGAGGAGATTTCGAAGTTCGAGACACTTGGTTATGTTATGAGTGGTAGTAGGCATCAGAGGATGAATGCCATTCGTATCAGAAAAGAGAACCAGGTTTACAGTGCTGAGGACAAACGGGCTTTGGCTATGTTTAACTACGAGGAGAAGGCGAAGCGCGAGCAGAAGGTTATGGCTGATTTGCAGAGGCTGGTGCAGCGGCATATTGGGCAGGATACTGGTCCTTCTCATGATCCGTTCGGTGGAAGGGCTGTCGAGGGGGCTGATGATTGATTCTGCGTACTACTGTTGCTGTATGCGTATCTCTACTTTATCCCTTTTAGGATATTCCTTTTTTCTGCTTTATGATGATGTATAAGTATGCCATGTTGTTGTGATGGATGCATTTCGTGACAATTATTATGCAGAAATTGTGCTAAAGCTTTCGGATTTTGATTTTTCTTTTGAAATCTTTTCTTTAAGTAATGATATAGTGGAGAACGCCCTCATTGGAATTACGTTTGGTTCTTAGTTTTGGAGATTTGTGCTTTTGTGTGTTTGCTTGTTATTTTTTTCTAGTTGGTATGAAACTCGATATTTTTTGAAGCTGCGCGGAGTCTAGTTATTGAAAGGGTGTTTTTAGATATTATGCTAGGCGATCAGTAAGTCATAATTATACTGTATATAGCTTACGTGAACTTAGTTTGGCATATGTCGACGAAAATATAATTGTGCATCTGTGCAACAATGTGCTGGTCTTGTATATGTGCACTAAAACAATGTTTTGGATCCTTATAAGGTTTACATGGGGAATTGGTTTTATATGTAGCCGAAAGTTCTAAGTTAGTTCTACTATTTTGAAATTTCTGCTTATAAAATAGGGGAATTCACATTAAATGTAGTAAGTGTTAGGTATAGACTATGGATTCTAACTCTTCTGGTTGACAGTATGTATACGTTTATGTGTTTTATTAAGTGGTGGAGTTTGTCGAACCCTTTATTGATGTAATCGGATAACAGTAACACAATCAAAACCGAAGCCCGAAATAATCTAATGTTTTATGGATTGATTCAGTAATTATCTGAAGTTTATTCAATTATATTATATGGATACTAATCTGGTTTTCGAGCAGTTATAAGGTAGGTATTTTCTTGATCAAAGGTTCTTTGGCCAGTTAGATTGTGGTTTATTAACTGCATTATTCTGCGTTTTCTCTTTGCCCCTCTAGTAAGCAACTATAGGGGCCCTTGTGTTGATTCCTCAGGAGAATCTACACATAATTTGGTCTGAACATTACAAGAACAAAATCAATACGAGTTATCATCGCTTGTGTTTTGTTCTTCTTAGATCCCACGTTTTCATCATTTGTGTTTCACCTCTCTCGGACTTAATGTGATTTGTGATTATCTATATAATTACTTTCTCTTCTTACAGAAATTAATACGTTTTATTATTTCTTCAATCGGGCATGCATTCGGATATTATCTATGTTTCGATTTTCGAAAATAAATAGCACATGGGAAGTAAATGTGGCGTATAAGTTAAAATGAGTTTTGTCTTCTGAAGAACATGTGAGGTAGGGTTTCATTTCATACCCAGCTTTGGCCTTATTTAACTATAAAATCAAGCAAAATTATTGCATGATTAATGATTACGGCTGCTGATAGTTATGATTAGGTATGATGGTTTGGTCCCCCTAATATATATATATATATATATATATATATATATATATATATATATATATATATATATATATATATATATATATATATATATATATATATATATATATATATATATATATATATATATATATATATATATATGTAAAAGAAGAAATTAATAATAACAATAATGCTTAAGAGTTAAGAATCAAGGGTTTGAATGCTAATGAACACCTTTGTCTTGTACATTACAAAATGAAATCCAGTATTGTACTTCTATAGTAAATGTGAGGGGTACAACGAAAATTCAATGACAACAAAAGTTAAGGCAAAAAGTACTTGAAAGCCTGAGAAACATCAAGGATGTAGTAGTTTCTTGATTTAAATGCTAAATTCTTTCCATTTTTAATGATCTTGTTCCATTGTTTTGCATTAGATTATGTTACTTAACATGAATGGTTATAAAATAAGTTTTGATTTATTATAAATAAATAAATAAAGATGAAGTCCTGATTTTTGCATTTCAATTTTTTCTTTATTTTGTTATATTATTTAATGGAGACACCACATATGTATCCACATTTTCAAGAAGCTGTAAGAGAGTGATGGGTTGCCAAATTGCATGGGACAGTTGATGGTTCATTACTATTGGGGAATTATATAAATATTAATTAATTAATTAAATATTTTTTTAAGTTTCCAATTTTGTTTTGATGCACATACCTCGTGGCCAATGCATATTTGTGGGGGTATGCCACTCTTGAAATATCATTTTCCTACTTAATTTAGTGTTAAAAGAACCCCCTAACCTTTCTTTCAATAATACTAATTCTAACAAGTGGAGGGGCAAAATAAAGATATATTCAAATATTTTATTTAGTAAAAGATTTTAGTGATCATTATTCATTTATAGGTATAGGGTTATTTCAATGCTACACTCGATGAATGTTACACCGTGTGGATTTTTATAGTTGATTTACACATATCAATATGAGTGTGTGTATATGAATAGTAAGATCTATCTGGTGTATTTCACTCGGTGTAGCGTAGTATAAACCGATAGGCATGCATTGCTCAAGTACTTCACTTTTATCGTGCCTTAAATATGAAGTGAAAACTAACTCAAAAAGGGTATTTAAAAGCCATGATTAAAGTATACAATCTTGTGCTGCAAAAATGATGCAAATAATTTGTTCCTCAAACCTAATAAATCCAATATTTTAAGACATGGATACAATGTAAAGACAGCCAAAACTGTGGGGCTTTCATCTTCTCTTTCTTGCATTAAAAACTGCCCATCTTCCAGCTTAGTTAGTTGCCCTTTTCTCTCTTCAATTGGATATTTTCTTTGTCTTTTACTTCTCACTCATCCCCCTTTTTCTCTCTTCCCACCTTCTTCATTCTTCTCACACCATTTTCAATCACCATAACAAAATTTTGCTTCACTTTCTTGATATATATATAATCATCTCTTTGCTTCGTATTTTCAAGAACCGAGAGCGATAAGTTGCGTATTAGGATCAAGAAGCGGTTTTTTCGTTATGGTGAAAATGAAAGAGTTCCCTTCTTGTTTCGGTGAGAGTGGTGTTCAGATTGCATCTTCATCGAGTGCAAGTAATAAATCTGCAGCTCAAAATCTTGTGACATGCATCTACCATTGCCATTCCGCTACCGTTTTCCGGCTTCATCACAGTGACATGGATCAAGCATATCATGGCACAAGGGCTCACAATCGGAATCGAGAATCCCAGCCAAACAGCCCCTCTGCAAAGTCGAAATCAAACCGTGGCTATTCTCAAAGAGAAAAGGGTCCAAAAACTTAGTGGTGAACTCCACAACAATCGATATCCATTGGGACTTATCTTGTGCTAAATTCGGTGCCAGCCCGGAACCATTGGAGGGTTTCCACCTATCCGTTGCCCTAAATCAAGAACTATGCTTACTCCTCGGAGACTCACCAAGAGGGGCCCACAAAAGGACCGACGACTCATCGCTATCACTCCCTAAAGCAACTTTCGTCGCTAAAAGAGAGCACATATTCGGGAAGAAATTGTACAATTCGAAGGCGCAGTTTTACGACAAGGGGAAGATGCATGATATCAGAATCGAGTACGATTCGAGTGAGAGCTTCGGTAAGTGCTTGAATATGTATATTGATCGAAAGGAGGTGTTGCAAGTGACACATCTTAAGTGGAAGTTTAGAGGGAATCAATCTATTTTGGTGGACGGAGTTTCGGTTGAAGTTTATTGGGATGTTTATAGCTGGCTTTTCGATAGTGTGGTGGGGAATGCGATTTTCTTGTTTAGAAGTCATGTGGCGGAAAAGAAGCTGTGGAGTAATCGGTCCCCGTTCGAGCCGTTTGCGTTGAAAAGAAGTCAAGATAATTCAGATTTATCACAAGGTCATGGTTTTTCACTTGTTTTATGTGCGTGGAAGAATGAATAAGCAAGTTTGTAACTCTAATTTTTTTTTGAGTTATTATTGACTTTGTTGTGAGTGAAATATATCTTCAATTAGTTTTCTTGTAGCTAGTTTGGAGATTCTGTATTTGAAATCGTTGTTCGTTTTTGTTCTATGCTATAATCGATGAAATTCACCAAGTTATATTTTAATATATCCCGTGAATCAAATGTATAAAATTGTTCGATATATTTAACCAGGTGTAACAGCTCGATGATATATAAGTAAAAAATCTTGTTGATTCTTATTGATTCTTCAACTGGAATTTCAAGAAACGAAGATGTTATTAATTCCCCATTTTCAGTTGAGATATATATATAATATATATATAAAATATATATAACCGTCAATCTCTATCCACTATTTTTGCCATCTTTTCAATTCAGGTTTCGTTGAACCCAAGAAAAAACCTTCCATTTTCTCTCTCTCCCAATGGCGAACGCCGCCGCCGTGCTGCTCTCTCTCACCCCTCGTAATCAGTTTCCTTTCCGCCGCCGAATCAACCCCACCGCTGCCACCGTACGCCAACTACACATCCCTCACCGCCACCATCCTCTCCACCCTAGGCTTCCGCGACCTCGTCGCCGCCGGCGCGGCCAGCCTCTCCGCCGCCACGCCCACCACCATCTTCGCACCCACCGACTCATCCCTCCTCACGTGCCCCACGTGCTGCATCCCTCTCCTCCTTCAAGAACACTCTGTTCCCGGCCTCTACCCACTCCACTTCCTGCGCACGTTAGCCTTCGGCACTAAGATCGGCACTTTCGCCGCCAACCGCTGCCTCACCGTCACCACCACCTCCTCCGCCGCCGCTAGCAAGGAAGTCTTCATCAACGGAGTCGAAATCACAAAGCCCGACCTCTACAACAACGGG